TAATCTTTTTTATGGATTTCTTAAAACGTTTACAAGCATATGAGAACTAGAGGTGAAAATGAGAGATGCATACTTTACGGGAAAGGCTAACAAACTGAAAAAAGAACGGGGGGGTTCACTTCTCTCCCACATCGACTGATAGGAGGTCAAGTAGGGGTGAGATCAGTGGTCACTGTATGTTCCGCTTGAGGGGGTGACTGGTCCAAGGTTGCGCTGCTGACCGTGATGGCGCAGGGCGAAATTACGCTGGTTGCATCGGAGAGTTAGAATCGACAAAAAATCGGGTTAGAGTCGGTCAATATTGATCGTCTCTGTTTTAACTCTGCAATCAATGATTGCCGTCTCGTCGGTTCTGTGTACGACGCCGTATGGTCTGGAATAAGGGGGTTGGGGTGGCCGGCGTACGCTATGGGTTCGAACGAGCACGTGATTGCAAGTAGCAAGTCGTTCGTCCGTGTTGGTACGCAAACGCTGTGCTCTGGGTTATACTGGCTGAAGCTGTCGCATATTCTGAGATAGACGAGCTGCGTACTCGCCACAGTCGAATATTGTTGGGACTTTTTTATGAGACAAGTTCACCAGATAAGCGCTGTATGCAATCACAGAGTAGTGAAACTGGAGTAGCGTGCAAGTCCGCTTTAATCATGTTCTTTGTGTTTTACAGGACGAGCGGAAGTGTTCCGTGTTAAGATGTGCTAGACTGGATACAAAGTGAAGCTTTGAGTTGCTAGTGGAACCTTTCCCATTTTGAGTCAGAAGTAAGCAAATGCGCGTTTGCTTATTTCCGACTTGAAGGTGAGTAATTTATGAATCTTCTCGTTTCATGGGCTGCAGGGTGAAGTGCGATGGTTCGGTTGTGTTGGCAACCCAGTACGTTGAACAGTTTGTTGAAGGATCCATCAAATTTTGATCCTCGATTGGTACTGACTAGCAGATCTACCCAGCGTTTTCGAAAGACGCGTGTGTGCAGTTGGCAATCGCGATCGAGTTTGGCCAACCATTGCATCTGTCGACACAGGTGAGGAGATACACGAAGTCTTTGCATCTAGGCGCTAGTCCGAGCATCTCGGCGTGAACGTGCTCAAAACGACAGCCAGGAGCCCGCTGACACTCTAAGCACGCGCGAGCCCAAATGGTGACATCGCGGTTGATGTTAGGTCAAACGAAGCGTTTGGTCACGTGCCTTGGAGAAGCACGTATACCAGGATGAGAACGATTGTGTCGGCGCATTGTCGCAAGAACTACCGGGACAGGAAGGGGTTTTGTGATGTTGGGAAGAATAGTCTCCTCGAATGAGGTTAGTGGAACTTGGCGTAGTTTCAAAGAAGTGTTACGTCGAAGTTGGTCTTTGTCGAGATCAGTTTATTAGGTTGCAGTCATGGCGACCAGATCAAAGGTGGTTCCTAGTGGTAACTTGTTCTGATGAATTCGTAAACCAGCGTTCGCGACAGGGTTAAGAACTCCTGAGATGTGTCGTACTTCTTTCGTAAACTAAGAAATTTAGTCTACGTGTCTAGTTTCTCGCGGAGAATATTCGTCTGCTGCGCCATTGATTACGTTGTTATCGTGACCAGGGTGTAAAAAAGCAGAGTAGGCCAACAATGATTTGGTAGAGCCATGAAGACCATCACTTCGAGGTTGGTGCTTCCCAATTGCCGGGCTGGAATCCCGAAGGCGAAGAACACGTTTGGTTGGATACACTTTTTGACATGACGAACAGTCAGCCTTAATAGCGTTTATGTTGTGAGTTTCTTAGCCTTTCCTCTTCTCGTTTACCTTCCTTCTCCGATCGCGATATCTCACTCAATGCATAATGTAACACGTGGCATCCTATTGTTTTTTTAGTTTTTGTATCCCGTGTTATTCGATATCTTACTCTTATCCTTTTGTATTGCGGCACAATAGCTCATGTATGTTTCTTACCAGTTAACGTGTAATTATGATGATAATGGATAATGCAAACTGTGCGCAGTATAACGATACATATTTTTGTATAATCGGTGGAGTACGATAGTCTCCGTGATCTTGAATATAGTCTAGCCAAATTATTTGTTGATGTATTTCTTTACATTTGATTTATCCACAGTAACTCGCGTTGGTACTCTGCTTGATTGAGGACCGCAACGGCTAATTTAACGACCCCACCGGGTTTTATATGAGTTGCAAAGGCTTGGATGTTCGTTGTTCAGGATAGTGCGCTTACGTCCGCATCGTACTGTTTTTTAGTGCTGGTTAGAAAATTACTTTTGGTTATAAGGTACATCGTAATACTGTATAAAACTCCGGACTGTGACCAATGTTCGCGTTTCATACCATCGTTTAAGGACGCTAGTATGACGAACCTGCGCGGCTGAAGGCGCCTTACATTTTCACAGATCCACCCTCGGTACTATGTATGCTGTGGTCATTTCTTACAGCTCCTTTTGTTCCCCTTTTTGCTGTTTTTATCCTGAACTTTTATATTGCTCCTCATGATTCTGTATTCTTTGAGTTTCCTTCAAAAGTATACTAATTTTGATGGTCCTCCTCATCTTTCTTTACTTTGCGTCGTGATGCAGTTGTTTCGGTGCATCCTCCACAACCGAACTTGTCTAATCACTGCAGGCACTTATCTCTACGGAGAAAACCGATTGTCACGTTCGTTTTATCGGGGTTCTGCATTTTTAAACCTTGTGCCTCGGAGCTACTAAGTACCGTGTTTTGCGTATTAGTGCTGTTTTTGTGTACATGTCCTTGACATGATAATGTATGCATCCAGTGGGTCACAGCACTTGTGTAGACCCACTTTTTGTTAACAACAGGTGTCTTTCAAGTTTGGTTGCCCCTACGGCTTTGTCATCTCTGGGTAAAAACTTGGCACTGATGTTAGTGCCCATCTTGGTTGTTCACTATGAAATCTGTTCTTGGGGTCACTACAGGTCACTTGGCTTACGATCTTCCATGCGTTTGTTACCTTTACCGGAGCACTTAGGGAAGTTTCCCCGTAGACTTGTTATCGCTTCGTAGCATTTGATTTTGCTAGACGACCGAAAAAGCTAGTCCGGATTTTGTGTCATGACGAGTTGGGCCATGCGCTCCAGTCAGATACTATTAAGGTTTCTGTTTTGCAGTAGCAGCCACAACATTGCCACCTTGATCCTCTTATCGCTCGACCTGTCTCCTGATTTTCCATTTTCCTAACTGATTGACAGTAAATATGTATTTGCAGCTATCTTCATAAAGAATTCGTCATTTACTCTTCAATTTGTTCACTTTATTTTGGCTGCGGGTCGCGACAGTGGGTGTTGTTAATCGGCAACTTGTTTCTTGACAGCGTCTTGGCAACTCGTTGCAGAAAACAGCATGAGCGGATACATTCCTCAACAAATTCTCCGAATGCGTTCCACAGTTAACTTGCAGCGCATGGATAACAATCGATCTAATGCCCTCGCAATGGTAGCGGGGAGTCTACTTTTCAGAAAGGTAAAACAGTGTGTCCTGTTCAGCCATTTGTCAGAGCGGTGAGAAGACATAAGTTGTGATATGTCAACATTTCGATTGTTCTCGTCAGTCGCAAACACAATACAAGCGGAATACATAGACAGTTCTAGACAGGGAAAATTGGCACACTTATCGAAATGTCAAAATCAAGACCACGGTAACCTAATTGTCTCGATAGTTTCTGTGCACACAACACAGGTTGATAAGCCCTAATTAGCAAAGCCTCACTAATTGCCAAAATTATCGGATTGCTGTTGCGTGATAACGCCTTGAATGCAGTCTCCAGGTTCACCTGATGTTGAGTTGCCAAGAGATGCTTGGTGATAGATGATGCTGGGCTCCGGTTCAGCCTCGGATCCACTACATTTTGTTGCGTCATCAGTTGTTCCAACCACTTCGACACATATTCAGCTACCCTCTGAGCTAACTGACGGTCAGTCCTGCCTATGTACATGTCACCGCAACCGAAGGTGAACTGGTAAACGACGTGAGAGGCCGAACTGACTGATGAGTTGCTCTGACGGTCATGATGAACTAGACTTCGCGTTGTATGTATGGGTCGCAACTGGGCGGTCTCGGAAGGGCGAACCGGAGTTAATATCCCATATCATTTGATACATGGTCTCCTTTGAGCGGCAAGAACAAATAAACGTTCTTTTTCTCTGCAGTTAACACCGGTATTTTCTCCTTGAGAGGCCTGCTGTGGATCTGAATGAGCTTCTCAGGACACCCATTTGACACCAAGGTTCTGTACAAAAATTCTTCTTCAACTTGCAACATTTCAAGGCCGCATATCCGTCCGGCTCTGTAGAAGAGTGTTTTCACTAGGCCACGTTTGTGTGACCGGGGCAAAACTGGAAAAGTGGAGATACTACCCTCTCCAAGTTGCCTTGCGATGAACTGTGCGCTGTAGTGTACCATCGATCCGTCTCTCAATTAATATATCCAAAAATAGCAAACTATCGTGTTGCTCCAACTCATGGGATACCGATAGATTTGGATGAATTAAATTCAGAATTGTCAACAACCACGCAAAATGTCCGTTTCTAATGAAGACTAGAATGTTATCCACTTACCGCTTGTACAACTTCGCTTCACCAATGCTGGCAGTAACTTGTCTTTCTATCGAACCGCGAAAGATGTCTGCTAATACTGGTCCTAGAGGACTACCCTTGGCGACGCCGTCGATCTGTTCATAAGCAGTCCCCTCAAACTCGAACCTTATATTTTCCGTGCATAATAGGATTATATCCCTCAAATACTCCAAAGGCAGGGCAATAGACATGTTCTGACTCGTGATGAAATCACAGAAATTGTCAACCGTCTCACGTAGAGGCATGTCTGTGAATATGGTCGATGTCTGTCGAAATCTTGACATATCGCAACTTTTGTCTTCTCACTGCGTCGACGAAACTGTGGGTGTTACCAGTTTTGTTCTTAACTGGTTTGTGTTCTGGACGATGGATAATTATTCTACCTTTTTAGGTGTACTCTTTTACTTGCGCCCTTTATTTCTTACAGCCTCCCATCTGCTGTTTAATCTATGCTTCTGTGCACGTGATCCAAGCATCTCAGCTCATCTATCTATGTCCGGAGAAAAATTGGAGACTTTTTTGAGCCAGCTGCAAAATGGGGATCCGGCTGTTGTAGTGGAAACCATTGTGTCAGCAACCGAATCTCCAGGTTGGACCACAGGCTTCTTAACGTGTTTGTCTGCTTTTTAGGTGTATTCGTTTTCGGCGAGTTTCTGGATCATCCGGCTGTGCAACAGTTGGCCAACAGCCCTAATGCTGCCTATTTAGACTTGCTCAATCTTTTCTGCTACGGATCCTATCGCTCGTACATTAGTCAACCGAAACTCTACCCTCCACTTAGCGCGCTTCAAATTCGAAAATTGAAACAATTGGCCATCATAGACGAAGCACACAACCGTAGATTCATTCCTTACGACTTTTTGTTTGAAAAACTGGAGTTGTCTTCGTCACGAGAATTAGAGGATCTTGTTATTGACCTGTTCTACTTAGAAGCACTCTCCGGTAAGCTGGATCAGCAGCGTGCGCTGCTGGAAGTCGATTCGGCGATAGGCAGAGATGTGCGGCTGGAGGAAGTGAGCCCTGCGATTTCATGCATTTCTTATTGCTAGATTGGAGATTTCGGCAATACCTTATGCATGTGGTTGAACAGGGTCGAATCAATGTTGTCACACATCGCGAAGAATATCAAATTTGCCACGGATAGTCGCTTGGAATCTGAACTTCATCAGAAAAAGGTCCAGGAAGCCGCTGCAGCAGTCAAAGAAACCTTAAGGAGTCAGCTTGGTAAACCCGAGGTGAGCATTTCAATACGACACGGTTGTTTGGTATTTTTAATTCCTGTCAGGTTAATGGATCCTATATTTTTCGCTTTTTATCTGAGATTTACACTTTACTTAACATGGCGCTTTTGGCTACGTTCCCTTCAGTGTGTATGGATTACTTCATAGATTATGTTTAGCCGCAGTGTTCTTACAGTGTCCAGCTGATATTGCTTTACTCTAATGCCTTGGTTATGCATACACTATCGCACAGCCTTGTGCGTTGCGCTGCACGCTTTGTCATGTACTTTGCAACTTCAAAGTGCAAACTACTGTTGCAGGACTGGGCCGACACACCTCCGGTTTTAGATATTTCCGAACAGCCATTGGAAGTGGTGTATCAGTTCACTTACCTTGATAGCGGTATCACATTGTGGTCACATCACTGTGGAAGTTACTTTGCGTATCAACAAGGTTCGTGTGGCTTTCCAGAGGCACCTTCATCTATGGGAACGGCGGGAAATCTGCTTGTCAGTGATAGGTAAAGTGTATAACGCTGCAATAAGGCCAGTGTTACCGTATTGCTCGGGGACATGGCCAGTTTGTAATGAAGATATTAATCGCTTGGCCGTGTTTGACCACTGGTGCTTGCGAAGTATTGTTTACGTTTGTTGGGAGCACCGGGTAAGCAATGCTGAGGCCCGCCAGTTGGTTTTTGACAAGATGCCTTCTTGTCCCTCTCGGGGGTTTGCTACATAATAGTCGCTTACATTGGCTAGGCTATCTTTCCCGTATGTCTGTTGACCGGTTTCCTAGGTGTGCATTAAATGCCATTGCTGCACCAAGTTGTTCGAAATCTCGAGGTGGCCAATGTAAGCGATAGATTCGCATAGGGCTCGGGTGACACTTAAAATTCCTGGATCCAACCAAGAAAGGAAGCCGAGGCTTTAACTACGGTACTATTCAAACATAAATTATAGTACACTATGGGCATACCTCAACAGTACCCGTTCCGTCCCAATATAACCGGGTCTTTGCAAGACACAGAAGGAAGGCAAATTGTCACTGTACAACACGATCACACAATACAGAGTCCGCGAGCGGAATTGACTCGGCTCTTTTACTGTGTCCAGTAACCCTACGCTATTGGTTCGATTTACACCGCATGGCATGATGGATATAATGTGTCTCGAGGCAAATGTGGGATGAAGTGAATAACACCGGAGGTGATCCCCTGTGACTGAGGAATGCCTCAAATTGGTACTTGGTGGGGCACCTGGGCATGTTACACAGTACGAGAGCTGTCGTATCTAACATCGGGGTTTGGAATGAAGTCACGTAGAAATGGCTAGGAAAACAATAAATGGCACAATAACCCGTAGTAGTAGTTGTCAGCTAAGGTTATCCGGAGCAAATCTCGATTACCCATTTTGCTAGTTGCAATGAAAACATGGAGCATCGCATGGGTAGACAACTAATTAGTATCCGAAGGCTCGGCAATGGCGCAGATGGTGTGGTTATCTGACGTATGATCTTGACATCGAGTTTGCAGTTTTCATGGCAATTTTGCCGCTTACAGCTAGTCCATGACATGGCATTAGTAGCATGAAGAAATTAACTGAGAGACTTGCTCAGGCTGGTGCGTGCCGTCTACCTGGATGGGGGGCCTCAGGACGGTCCACACTATTAGTTGGGGACCGTGTGATACGTGGCGCAGTCACGAAGTTAGTGTCGTTCCTGCATTCGTCTGCTTTCGTCTGGTTGGTAATTTTCGTTCCATTCTAATTAGTTTAGCGCATTTCCTTCTTGATTTCATTTACCCTACCTTCTATTTACACCCAGCCTCACCATCCTACTGGTGTTACCTATTGTTATTCTTACTGTGAGTCGTGGCAACTGTATCCACCGCATTTCGGTGCTCGGATCATAGTTGATCAACTGGACTGGACTGATTGCTTTATTTACTAGTACGGATTCCCTCACGGTACAGATGGGTACCGCTGCACAAGCGTCTATGGGCACCGTGTAGTTCATCGTCCACCAATGATTTAATGGACAGCGTGTTTCGAACGAGCTGCATACACAACAGTACACTGCCCTGTGTATTTATGGCCATTTGCAGGTGAATCGAGTAAATGGGGCTGTTGTGGTCTGTAGTTTTTCATTACTAATGAGAAGCCAATGCGGATATCTCAAACAGACAACCGTGAATGTTCCAAGCTCGGATAGCTCGGAATTAAAAGGTGAACAAACCGGCTAAGTGTATGGATAATTTGGAAATACATTGAAGGCTGTTTGCACGATGTTGTCCAACACAGGCTCCTCGTATTACTGTGTTGAAACCCGCGCGTAGAAGAGTAACCTAGTCACACAGGTTTCTCTTACTCCCATCCCGACCCCTATTACTAATCTCCCTTATATAATTCCCAGCTTGACAGCAACTGAAATGCTACTGGAGTGGAGCCATCTGCAGCCACCTTCCGCAAAACCTACGGGACGCGTATCGACAACAGTCCCGTATAAGGCCACGCTGTCACGTTTCCCTGGCGGCGTTCAACGTTCACACTCTAAGAAGTTGGTCAACTGGCTGCACTCGCACGCACGTTGGACACACTGGGTATTGACGTGTATTTTTTGTCCGAACCTAGGATCAATAATCCTCACGAGGTTCTTAAATTGACTGCGCCCGACTTGTTCTCTCGCTACTTGTTGCACGCATCTGGGGACGCTGATGCGACAACCACTGGTCAAGCTGGAGTGGGCATTGTTCTCAGTTCCAAGGCTGTCATCGTTGCTTGAGTGGATTCCGGTGAACAGCCGTTTGTGTGCAGTCCGTTTGACACCAACTAAGGTTGATTCACGAAGTAGCACTAGACGCTGTTTGTATGTGGTGCCCGCTTATGCCCCCACTGACTACAGGCCAAAGGAGAAGACCAAATTGGTTTAATCTACCTCACTACATGTGATTCCGTCTGAATTGAACTCGTTTGCTTGCTCCGAATCCAAGCAGGAAACCAACGATTGGAGGCCAAAGTGTGTTGCAAAACCAGCTACCGAAACGGAAATAAGTAGTATAGAAACCATAGAATATTTATTAGCAACCCAGGAAGTTCTTTCAGAACAGCTAGGTCAGCTACCCCGATTGGCAGTTCAGTTCAGCTAGCCAATGGAGAGGTACGTGCATCGTGTAGACGTGAAGGTACCTGACGCAGGTATTACTGAAATGTCTTGATGTTTTGCACGCAATTCGTTCAAATCCTTTTTCAATTGAATAAGTGAGTTTTCCTGGGGGATTTTACTCCCCATGACAAAAAGGAAGACAACAATTCATTCAGTTCACTTTGTCCCTATAATGGAGTTGCTCCGTCTCAACGTGTACGTTCAGGGTATATTTTGGAATAATAGCTGCCATGAACTCTGGAAGATATTAAAGCAATTAAGCAAGTTTACTCGGAGAAACTGGACCATAACTTCTGCAACTGCCACCATAACCCGATCTCGCTCTATTTGATAGACCAGTGCATCGTACATTACTTGATGCAGAGCAGGTATTTCGTGTTTATTTTTGTCAAATTCACTCTTCTTTGCGATTCTGAATTTGGTTATTGTGTATTAGTTACGTGTCCTTTATAGTTTACTATGGTACTTTATCGTGTACTTCTCGTCACTTTATCACCTTTACCGTCACATCTGCTAAGCTATCAGTAATGACAAAGTTGGCTTCCTGTAGTACTTGTTGCAAAATAAATGGGCGTAGAGCCAATGCTGTTACATGCCTCCTGTGTGGTGTGAATTTCCACATTTTGTAGATTGGTTTGTCTTTAGATCATTTTAAACTACTGCGTGAAATCCAGCATGACTTTGTCCAAATATTGCACAAGAAATGCCAAGCCACTCTGCAGTCACAAAAGACCGAGAAGCCGCGCGAGCTAGCTACCTCTGTCTTCGAACGAGCCCACCTGCCCACCGGCTGTAGGCTCTAGCGCCATGGCCACCCGCTGCTGGATGCTCAGCTGGCGTGCCTTTGTTGCATCCTACGGACACTAACATACCGGTGTGCGATAGCGTAGATGTTGAAGGCCAATAGAGAATGCAGTGAACCAAAAAGGAGAAGGCAACTACCAGCAATCACGCGCCTGAGTCGACAGATGGTAGTCCTCAGGCTAGTTATGACCACGACGTGGATTTTCTGCAGAGCCTGATTGATATGCTTCTCGACGTGAATGAACAGGAGTTGCGGGTGAACTAAATCACCTGTATTGGAAAGAGACGAGGGGAAATTCCGGCCTCTGAGAGTCACCTTTCTTGATACAACGACTCAGAGGCTGATACTATCCTGCGTCGATAGGCTAAGAAGTCTAAAGATCCATATTTGTCCCGATTCGGATCCGTCGGACAGAGAAACTGAAGTCCGTTATCGTGGAGTTGAAGCGGCGGACTGGTGGTGGAGAAACCAATCTCCACACTGTAAATTTTCGGGTTATTCCCCGGGTCCGCCGAACAGATCCATAACGCTTCATGTGCATTTGCCGGTTCCTACCGCGGCCTGCGCATAGCCTCCACAAATGTTTGTAATTGGATGAATAAACGTGACGATGTATTTCACTTCGTTGCCTCACATCGTCTGACCGTACTAGGATTGGCCGAAACCTGGTTAAATCTTGTGGTCACTACACAGGAAGTCGTGTTCAATAGCTACTCGTGCTTCCGGTGCGACAGACTGTCGAGGCGACGTGCTGTTATATATTCGGTCCTCGCTGTGCGGGAGATTGGTACACATCTACTGTAGCGAAAATGGTTTGTGCGAACAGTTATGGTGCTCGATCCACCTGAGACAAGGTGAACTGTTTGTGGGTGGCGCTTATCGCAGCCCTCGAAGTTGCTACCTGGATTCGTTGCCGCATGCCATAAACTACATGAGTCGGCCCCGCTTCCTGCTTATGGGTGATTTTAACTTCGCTCGAATACGGTGGCCTGAGGTTCAACTTCTCCCCGGGCACTGTGAAGTCGAGGCGCAGTTTTCGGAGATGGTATTT